TTTATATTTATTTAATTTAAAATGCTATTATTATATATATTTTATAATTTTATTTCGTAGAATACTACGCTTAATTACTACTATAATTTTACTAATTACTATTGTAATTTTAGAGAATTCAATAAAATTTTCAAACACCTTGAAAGTATAGCCTGATGCGCTAATGTAGCGCCAACTTCTGCTGAATGCAGCCAATGTAATTTATGATATTATGCAGAATCAATTTATTGTTTAAATCTAACAAACCGAATCGGTGCGCAGTTTACAGTATTAAAAAATGTATTACACACACACACACACACACGCACGCACACATGCACGCACGCATGCACGCACGCATGCACGCACGCACGCACGCACGTATGCACGCACGTATGCACGCACGTACGCGCACGCACACACACACACACACACACACACACACACACACAAGCATCAAGATCTGCTTCGACCGAATAAAGGATTCTTTGTTAATTGTATTGTTTACTTATCGGTCTATTTTCTACTTATTACTGTTAATAATTATTCTCTTTCTTCAATTAAAAATATTTTTTTTTAATAATTACAAATGGAAGATTAAGATATAATACAAAATAATATTTAAAAAAACAATGATTAAGAATATTTCAGAGATAGATCATACGAAAGGAATTAGAGATTTGTATCAAAGTCGCACTGAGAGAACAAATGATCAATATAATGTAGTTTTTCAAGTACAATACTACGTACTGAATTGTTGCAGGCCGCTTGGAATTGGAACGGGGCTAAGATCACCCTGAAAAATCCTGCTTTTGAACATTTTATCGATATTACGATAATCTGTTCACCTATATATAATATATTTCTCTTTTTCTCTCTTTTTTATTTTTTTAGTTAAAAATTTTACTACGTTGCTAAACTCACAGTTCATTGAAATTACATTAACAAGTAATCACTGCATTTTTATTCACTTCTTTCTTTTTCTTCCTAACAACTTCTATTTTAAGCACAATAAATTTTATGTGTGAAATCTTTTATTTCAGAAATCGTTAAACAAATAATTTCGTTCAACATAAAGTCTTATTCTTTTTTTCCAAATTTAATGTCACAGACTTTTCGTGTATAGTCACATTTATGTAAATCGCTAAACAAATTCAGCTTTCATAGACGTAACCTGGCGGTAAAAAAAAAGATTATTCTTCTGTTGTGAATAATTCGGACATCGTGGCAGTTTTTCTCAAATTCTTTTCTTATTAATTAAATCTTCATTCTATTATTATAATAATAAATTCGCTAATAAATTCATTAGTCTCCTAATGAAAAATGAATCGATCGAACAAATATATCACCAGTGGACAAGAGAATATCTTCTAATTGTGTTGTATTCTTTTTCTATAATTCATTTATCGATTTTTGCTTATCTTCGTATATTTGCGAAGAAAATGTAAATCCGTACAAATATACACTTTCACCATTTTGATCCATTTCTTAAAGCAGTCTCTATGTATGTGTTGCATCATATCCAGTTTCTCTTCCTTCTTGATACACACCTTCGCACATATAAAATGCCTTACGGTTTAGATTTTCATCGGTAGTTCAGCATGACTACTTTACTGTGTTACATTAATTCGTGTTAATTCCTTTTTCCTATCCGTTATTAACATCTTTTTGTTCATTCATGATTTCAATGTGATTAATGTAAACTTTACATTTATTTTTTTTATTTTCTATCGTAACTATTTACACTCATACATACATATTCACATTATTCTTTATTTTGATTAAGTCCATAGAATGTCATACATTACGATATGCGAATACAACTTTAGCTTTTTTTATTTTATCATATTCGTTTTTTCAACTTCTTGCTTTTTTTTCGAAAACGATACGAAAAATGGCAAAGAAGATATTTTGCCGATATCATTGAGTGCTTAATGTCAAGTAATGCTAATTCTATGCGGTACAATAATTAAATCGAATAGTAAATGTAGCGTGTTCGCGCATCATCTTATAATCTTTTCTTTTAATGCTTTTAAGATCTTTTCTTTTTTTGTCTTTCACCTTCGCTTCGTATCTCTTCCTTTCTTCCAGATTCCACTCACAATTCTTGATCTTGTTAAATTACCATTTATTACTTTTAGAAATTCGCTGTTTTTCATTGACGCTCTCGATTGTAAAGAACAATTTCAGAAAGGACGTGAAGGACGCCATCATTCGCAATTATTCAGAACAGTTATTGAGAACAGTTTTCAACAGAAACCAAAATAATGGATAAAATACAATTGCAGGGTGTTTCTCAATCAGCAATAAATAAAATTGCTTTAAGAAAATATCTTTTCAGTTGATATCTTCTGACCGATATTTCATCTTTTGGCCGATATTTAAATCTTTTTTGATCTGTGAAGAAAAACGATCAAATATCAAAAACATCATTTTCTCTCTCTCTTTTTTACGCTCTTTTTTCCAAGAATCAGCTTAATATACCAACTATATGCATTGACTTGTTTCAAGAAGTACAAGTAATTTTTACACTATTCAATAAACGATTCTTCAACGATGATTCATCCAATCTCTTCAATTCATTTCAATTGTATCAGGTATCAGCACGATCAAGAATTCTTATAAGAACTTCTATAAGAATCTTCCTTAAATCAAAATTTGCAAGTCAAGCGATTCTCTTGAACACATTTGAGGATGATCATCTGTGAAATCGCACTTCTTATTACTCTCTTTTTTATAGTGACAATAAGGAATTTTTGCAACAAACGATTGGCACGGCGTTTATGCAGAAACGCCCACTTCACTTCTCGCCCGACTTGCATTAACATTGCGTTGTATTTTATTGCACGTTTGCACAGGGCGCAAGCATCGCACGCATCACCATCTTGCAAACACGACATGGCGTCATTGTTATCGTCATTTTCAACATTGTTATCATAGTCATTTTGAATCATTAACAGGCTTCAGTCATTTTTCTTTTCCTTATGATTATTTTTTACATTCATGTTTATCATATATGAG